TTTGCTAACTACTCAGTTCAAACAAGAGGGTGTTCATGTATATGTAGCTAAAGAGCAGCCTTTCAAGAAAGTCAAAACGGACGAGGTAAAGGAATACTAGGATCTCTGTTTTATTCTTGCTTGCTCTTGTGCACATAGCTGTCTTTCGTGTACACGACCGACGCACTTCGATGTCATGACCCTTTCCACTTTTACCTTCTCAGCTTTTGTCTAACTGCTTCAGGAAAATGGAAAAACTTGAACGAATCGCCGATTAGACAGGATTGCGATATTGGTAATCGTTTTTGCAAGCATCATAAGTGCCTCTCTTTGTCGCAACCATTCTGTTGGTATACCTGGGGAACTGAAATCGGTTTTATTCATCGCGTATTAATCGGTTTTAATTTAGGGAATCAAGGCTTTCTCGCATCTCAAAGCGGTTCGAGAGTACTAATTTCCATCACGCATACCTCTTACAAATCGAGTTCGAGTTTTTTCCGCTCGGGTTTATGGCAGAAGCGCGAAGTGCGCAGGAAAAACAAGGTTCTTTAACTTGCAGTACGGACCGAGAAAAATGAAGTTATTAATATATTTATTATATCTTTTGATTCAAATAGAAGGGAAAAAGATTTCAGTGCAAGCGGAACGGCCAGTGATGATTAACGAGCGTCAAATCCTAAGCACGAGAACATTTTATTGGCTTCCGATAAAAACTGGACTTTGAGGTCAAAAGTTCAAAATATTCTTTTATTACCCATAGTTTAGAATTAATGCAAAATTACACAAAAGCAACAGTTTAAGTATACCAAGGTTTCTGTAAGGAAGTGAGATAAAACGTTCTGTAAGTAACACTCTTGTCGAGAGTTTTTTTTTAATTACTTAAATCTGCAAAGCACAGCGCGTTTCTGTGTAGAGTGCGAACTAACGGCTAACTTTGTTCAATGTCAGTGTCAACGTCAAACGAATGAATGAATTTTATCAATTCGATCGAAAACAGCACAAGCATCTTTTTAACGATTAGTATCCGATTTTTGGTGATTTGTGGCGTTTTCATAGAAGTTGCAGGGTGGATTACTCGGTGCAGACTGAACAAAAAGATTAAAGACGGGTTGACATTGAGTCGATGCTTGTTGACGCGATAAAAGAAAGACGTGGACTCGCTTGAGAGCTGAACCTACTTTTTAGAGCTTTAATAGGAAGAAAAACGGGACGATTTAGAAGAAGATAACTCGAATATGCAATTTGAAAGCTTAAAATACTGTCATTTTGCTTGTCGACACCTTTAAAGAACTTGCCCAGGAGCTTATCGAGAGCAGCAGCAGGTATGCTTATTACATTAGAATTTTCATTAACCTGCTGTTCGCAAAACCCTACAAACTGTTTGCACTCGTATTTTGTCTTTTCAAAGTATTCGACGACCTTTCGGCTGCAATGAAATAATCTGGTTTACGACCCGAGTTATGTTACGTAGATAGTCGTAATTCTCTATTTGCCGCTTGCCCTACTCAAAAACTCAAAGAATCCGATTTGAAAGATTGGGATATCTGCTTCTAAGTTTTGCTCTTTTTCCTCGTTGGCGTACTTTTCCTTAAGTCTGTTCAAATTTTTCTTGAAGAGATATTTTGGCGATCAAAACAAACTTTTGAATTTAGCGGGCCATGCAGTGAAATACTGCGCGCTAAATGGACTAATCATAGCGCACGTTCTACCCAAGAGATGTAACGAGGGGTTTTATTTGATAATCTACGGGCTTAATGCCCTGAAAATACCTGATCAGATACATCACTGTACGCACGCACAACTAGTTTGATTATTCCATGCCAAAGCGCTTTCTGCTACTGACTGAGAAGCAACGTGTCAACCGGACTGATCGAGGATGAATCACCACGCCCTCACCCAACTAACGGCTCTCGTCGGGCTGTCCGCAGCGACTAATCCTATACATTTTCAGAACATCTGACATTTCATACATACCAGCTGTACGTTTTTCTTGATGTTCATTTGTTAAGTAAGGAATTTCAGGTATGTTATGTTCAAATGACAAGGACGACGAGCGAATATATACGTACTTTTTATATAATTGATTGATTGATTGATTATATAATCGATTGAAGAAAAGAAGAAGAATAAAATAAATTGATTGAAGCTGTAAAGAAAATATAGTTCTTGTATATGTGTGATTTTACATAGTGCGGAGCATAGATTTCACAAATGGACGGTATAAAAGTCTGGTAGGGGTTATATAAAACCGCACGATCAGAACATATTTACTTGTCCTGTAATGAAAAAGGAAGATCACGAATAAGGAGTGCTGAAAGAGTCCGATATATAGAGGAAACAAGAAAAAAAAGTGTTTTTGAAACAAAATCTAATGCTTCCGTCCACTCTAGATCTGAATTCGTCAGCAGAAATAAGACAAAAATCTGTTTCCGAAAAGTAACCCAGTATTTCCGTCGAGAAAAACGTGTTTCGTGAACGTTAAGGTATGATGACGTCGACGGAAATATAAAAAATTCATGTTTCTGCCACGTTACTATGTGTTTCCGCACATGTTAACATGAAGTTACACTTGCGGATACATTTGGTTGTTTTCCTTCAACTGAAACCTGACGGAAACATGTAAAAAAGTGGCACGGTTCCGCTGTGACCGCAGCAACAGAAACACGAGTAAACGTCACCAAACCGACAGCGGAAACTCGTGTTGAGCATCGTGTTTCCGCAAGGTTTTCACATATTTCTTCCACGTTTCCGTTTACGGATTCTTGATATTTCTTCATGTGTATATTATTCGCATCTACTTTAGCGGTAGCGAAATATCAACTTGCTTGATAAATAATAAAACATATAATACGAAAGAAATCAATTTCGAGCAAAGAAAAACTTCACCACAGCTAAGAGTTGTCATAGGCATATAAGGTTGCTTTGCTGTGGGTGAGATAGGTTTTTTCGTCTGCCCTAGAGGGATCAACGATTGAGCAATTCTATCTGGTGGTGTGTTGCATGTGGAGGTAGTGTCTAACTGCACCATGATTGATTTGTTTAGGTCCTTGGTCACACCCAGTTCCAAGGGGCTGGACAATTAACGCCCTAGGGCCTCGCCTATTGGATGTCGTGAAGTGCTGTAGACAGTTTGGGCATATATTTCTGGTTTGATATAAACCTTAAAGAGATCAGTTTCATGCTCCTCCCCTAAACTTTTTTCGGGTTCTTCTTACCAGCGATGGAGGAACGGAAAGCTGCCAAAGCTTTGTCTTTTTCCTGCCACTTTAGCCTAACAGGCACAATCCGCTTCTTCTGCTGTTTCTTCGGCAGGAGGCTCGCTGTCTTACCATCCATTGAGCTCGCACCAATTGCGACCATATCATCACCCAATCCGAAGTAATACATCAATCCCAAAACATTCTGAAAAAGTTTACCTTTATTATCAATTCACAGTTTTATAATTAACCAGAAATCCGATTTCAATCGTTACACGAAGGCGCGCCATAAAAGGAGAGGTGCCTTAGGTACCTCTGAATCATTTGTCAATCAACCGTCGTGGCATACAGAACTCCAAAACAGCCTGAGCTGCAGCCAATGCAAGGCACTGACCAGAGGCGCATTTCTCGGTAAAAATTTCTACGTTTTCATCACAATGGAAGAATTTTTTGAGGTTTGTATTACCTTCCTCCGATCGAAACCTTCTTCATTTGTGGCGGTAAATTTGAAATTCGAAATGATTCGCTTCGCCGTCGCCTAAAATTGCCATGGCGTAATTTCATGTCTGTTCTTAAATACTGGATGTAGATGACCGTTAGAATAAAAAGAAAAGATGAAGAAATGTTCAAGGCATTTCTTCAATAATGCCAAGGGGAAGTGCTGTTAACCCAACGGAAGAAAAATAAAAGCAGAGCGACCATTGCAGGCGAAGTTCTGGAGCGCGCGAGTGAACCGCCGCCAACCACCGATTCACTTGGACATGTCCAGGCATCGATGTCGCCAAATGAATCATCTGTACGGGCTTCCTCCACAAATGGTGCGATTTCTTTTTCTTTTTTTTTAATCTAAGTATAATATGATTACAAAAGTACTGAATGACCTTTAACCTTTGGAACAATACATTAGAAAGGTAACTTAGGACTACAGTTCGATACCAACAATCACTGTGATAATGTATCACCAAGATTGAAACACTCGCGTAACGCAATAATTTTCCAGAAGTAACTAATTGCAGATTTTTTTCGAACTAGGAAATACTAGTTAGAATATACTTGCAAACCACAGATTTTTTTCGTATGATGCGACAGTTCATGTCTAACACTGCTTCCTTTTGATGCCTTCATTTTCCGAAATGCAGCCTTGCGTGACACCTACCAAACGTTTTGTCCTGCCTAAGAATGTTTTGTCCTGCCTAAGAATGTTTTGTCCCGCCTAAGAATGTTTTGTCCTGCCTAAGAATATTTTGAAAGGAGTTATTTCTTTAGAACTACAAGTTATATTTATTGCGATATTTTATGCTACACCATGGGCATACGTGTCAATTAAACATGAAAAATGTACATAAAAATTGTCCAAAATAAAATGTAGGCGGGAAGACTAGTTGTACGATCATATCAGACTTCATGACCGTTCAGTTGCGCTTTCGCTCTAACAGTTATTTCACCTTGTCTCCACAATAGCTGATGCAAGAGGGGACGAGTTCGAAATGTGTATTTACTGTTGGCAAACGCCATGTGTAACGACCGACAGTCGCGAATACCTTGGCTATCGCGAAGCACATATTCAAAATCACGTGCGACGTAGAAAAGATTAGAAGACGTACTGGAGAGCATTGAACAAATGTGGGCTCTGGAAAGACCCTGTTTACCAGGCTAGAAAAGTCGAACTGGGGGACCACGTTAATGTAGTGCGGGAAAGGATGTCCAATTGTGTTATAAAAAATGTGAGCTGAAGGTTTCCTAACCCTCCTGGTATTGCCTACATGGGGCATAAAAGGGAATAATAAAATTCTCATACAAATGCCCACCTCAAAGAGAGCCCAAGTACCCAATTTTTTTTTTTTTTATGGTCCATTTTACAATGTCCACACAGCAAATTATAGTGACTTTCCTATAGGTTAGGAAAAAATATACAGTGCAAAGAAAAGTAACAGGAGGAAACAGAGAATGAGTCTGCTTGGAAATACCTTGTGTCAAACCTAATATTCATGTTTTCATTGCTTGGTACCAGCAGTTGTTAGAATTGGTCCTCCCTAATGACCTCACATATTAATACTGAACATTTGGGCTCCTAGTTGTAATTATCACAGAAACTGTGGTGCAATGGAAAACAGAAGAGACATCATTTGTTTATATTAAAAAAGGTAGACCAGATAGTTTCTCTGAAATTAAATGTCTTTGAAGTAAGCACCCTGGTCTCTGCCAAGCGGTTTGGATGCCTGGTATGTTGGTACATCTGTAGAGACGATGCTTCTCGATTCACATTTTCATTCTGTAAGACAAATGAGTCAATGAGCAAGAGAAGGCAGTGAATCCAAAAAGTGCCAAAGTAATTGAGCAGAATTAACAACATAAGTTTCTTACCCAATCAAGAATGGCTAACTCCATGCACATGTTGTATGTGTCATCCCCATAATGAATCCGCTTTGCAGCATAAATGAGCATCACTGAATGGAGAGACTCAATCCAATATGTTTCCCTGCACTGAAGAAGGCAACAAATTATGGGTGATTTTTCTTTAACTGGAAAATGAATTTGTTCAACTCATTTATGGCCCTTACCTCAACATCATTAATTTGGAAGAAGAGATAAACTTCTTCATGCAAAGAAACATAAACATACAGCATGCGTCAATTAATTACCCGCATGTAGTCCGATGCATGCCTATAAATTGAAGTGCCCATAATGGCTTCCCTGCATGCAGCTACTACTTCAGGTTTAGTTAAAAGTTTTTTGCTCATCACATAGCCATTCTGCTTGCACCGTGACTCTGCATGGCATCTGACATGATTTCCCTGAGTAATAAATACACCAAGTTATAGAAAAATAGATTAATAAATCAGTAGTAATAATTATAGTAAGTATAATGTCTCTTGTTCACCATTATTAAAGAAATATGTGCAATCTTTGAGGTAATGATCATGTCATATCTTACTAGAATAACACAACAAAAGGTACTTACAGAAATGAAAACAAAATACTATGTTCTCAATAAACAGTCACTCAAATTACCTGGTAATGGTCAACTACATTCAACAGTGTACCCTGAAATTCTTCTTCATTGGGTGGACTGTTCTTCATGCAGAAGTATACAAGAGTCCTTGTACTTTTCACTGTAAAATATTCAGAATTATTATATTCCATTATAGTCATCTTATATCAAGAAGGAATTTGACATCTGCAGGTAATTGTGGAGAGAATATAGCTTTTGATGACTCTCATAAGAGAGATATCTTACCTTTGTCTAACAATTCAAAAAACCACTTTGAGCCCTCATCCCTCTGGGCCCCTGAGGCAACTTCCTTCATTGCTTTAGTCACAGACTTTGCACCTGAAAATAAACAAAAAAATATTAATACCAATAAAATGCTAACTTTCAAGAAATAGTCATAATCATCAAGACAAAATGAGCCAAAAAATACAAGTGTGTACTGAGTACCATGCCAAGAGTCAAAGGAATTAAGCATTCCTTTTGACAAGATCCATGTTTTTAGCTGTAATACAAAGTCATATGCCACCTCTGCAACATGGAACCCTGAAAAAAGAATTACTTTAGCTGCATTATAAAAGATACTTCTGACCTCCATATTTGTATTACATATGCGATATGATATTATTGAGGATGCAAATTTATCATACCTTGTGTCTCAGAGAGATAAGTCAGCAGCTCTTTTGTCATAGGGACCTCACAGCTTACTGCTGAAGTTTCATTGGCCCTACTCCAGTTGACAACTGCTAACACCTTGTGTTGAACATACCAGAGGTTCAACATATCATACAAAGAGATCAAGTAGAAACCATCTTACCAGAAAGAAAGGGCTGACACTGTTGTGTGTGCTGTTGATCGACTGGAATCATGCCTTGCATCTGTTATAACTCACTGCAGGAAGAAATGGTAGAAATCAAAACATAAAAATGGTCACATTTCTCTACTCACAGATATTTTCAAGGTTTACAATCTGATATAAGATTTTATATTTTTGTATGTGCCAGTCTACATAATATATTCCGAGTATGGCAGGTGTATAAGTATGTGGCCAAAGACAAAATGAAATTAAAATGACAACTTGTACCTCTCCATTCACAGCATATGCAGGGTTACTCTTCACTTGTTCTTGAGTAGCCAACATCGACTCATTGGAGACCCTCTTCATGACTGTCAAGTAACTGAGCTTTTTCAAGACTGTTGAAGTGATTAAAAATAGAAGTATTTTAGAATTGCATCTGGTAAGGCACAAACCAAAGAAGGAACAGTTCAGTCAGTTTGAGCTATCTTGGTAGAACATTCATGATTTAGCAACCTGCAAACTGCTGTTGACTGCCTTCTCCTTGCAAGGAGAAAGACTACATGATTTTCAGAGCATCTGCGCATGTGCATTGCTAACCTGTGTCGGAGGTCTTTTCTCCCTCTGACCCGATGTTGGCTGCTTGACAGAAACTTGTGTATTCTGTCTCTGTCAAGCCACAGGACAATACTCCATGAATCAATCTATGAAAGAGAGACAGAGAAGTGACCAGTTACAAAAAACAAAAACTGTAAAATACCGAGATAACAAATTTCTGTAAATTTCGAGCAAAAAATAAAAGAGTGCTCACCTCAAATTTACATAGTACTTTGGAGGAGATCCTCCCATGATAGGGGAGGAGAGCCACTTGAAAGAATCTCCACCAACACATGAAATTGTCACCGACACTACACGACTCTGTCGATTGAAGACAAGTGACTCGAAATCGAAGGGTTTTCCACAATAACAACATGATGTCGTTAGCGTATTAGAGAAAAAAAAAAAAAACAGAGTTCGCAGAGATTCTTTACTGCAGAGATATATGGAGTCGTTCTCTACTGAAGATGCAGTGATTTGCATTCTTTGTGACGTACGTTCTGCTTGTGGAGGAGAAATTGGAGAAAAAGGATCAGCAAAAGGCAAAGAAATACGCAAAGATGGAGTGGAAAAAGCTGAAAGAATTGAAAACCGTGCAGTTATGGATGGTGTAGAAAGAAGAGATGGGTTCGGACTTCCCGTTGATGAGAAGCTCAGTCGCTCGATGTCAGTCGTTTCCTCTCAATTTTCTCCTCAAGAGCTAACAGAAGAGCTTCCATCAAATCTGCATTCTGTGTGCTTGTCGTCGCTTTTGTAAGATTCAACGAGCCTTTGGCCATCTTTATGCGGTCTTTGATGCCGAGAAGTCTGCTCTTCTGAGTTCGAGGAACTTCTATGTTGAACGAGAACTGAGGACCTCGATCCGTTGGACGCTTTTTCTTGGGTACAGATGGATTATTTCCCTCAGCCATAACGAATAAATTTCCCAATAAATATATCTTTCGAGTAGCGACAGCCAAGACTATTCCCCAAACTAAACTAGAGTTGTGAAATTCTGTCTCAAAATGGCACTTACTTGTGAAATCGTCCATACTTCAGAGGTCTTGTCACAGAATTGTCACAGATAATAATAGTCTGAGCATTGCGCATAGAATGAGTCATGAATCCGCTAGTTTCAATGGGAATAATCTGAAGGCTCGAAGAACCAGTTTGTATTAGGGGCTTGGGACATAAGCCGAAGTTACACGGCGCAAATTTTGGAAAGACAATTGTGCGAGTGTCTTGTCGACCGCAGATAGCGCTTTGAGCGGCCGAACGATAAATTAGTGCCAATTAATATCAAAATGAGCTCAATTATGGGAATGAGAGTCAACAAGACGCAATATCTTCTAATTGATTGACACAAAAAAAGACACTTAAAGTGTGTCTTCTATGCAGACCGTTTCACTCATGGTGGGAACGTTGGTCGCCATATTGGATGATTTTTGCAAAATTAACATTCCCACCTCCCCCCTCCCACTTAGAGAACGCATTGTTAGGTCAAAAAGAGACATTTTGTTTATTAAACTTGAATCATCTACAAACAGTATTATGTCAAAACTAAGGTTCTCTTCTTTGCGCAAGTTTAGGCTGTGTATTTTTTTTAAAAAATTAATTTCTTTGGAGCTGCCGATATAGATTTAAAGAAAGGCACCATTCTCGCAGCCGAGCTGCAATTTTAAACCAAATCCTCTGACTCTTCCCTTCCAGCCACTTAAGCGATAAATGATGACCGGTAACTAAGGTCTCGAAGGATTTGGCCGAAATTCTAAGGGTCTCCCTCAGTAGAAGGGAAAGGAAAGAAGTCAAGATTTAATTTCTATTCCTACAGATGTACTTTGCAAACTCTGTAAGTCTTAAAACTTCATGAGATGATTAATTTGCTTTATTGTCTTTCTTGATATCGTTTACGTAGGTATTTACATGACAATCAGATAGCAGAGCTACCACGTGGAGTCTTCAGCTACAACACCAAGTTGATTGAATTGTAAGTAAACAACATTTATTGCTTATCCCATGAGACTTATTTTTAAGAAGCTTATACAGACCCAGTCACACGTGTAAACTATAGCAATTTGTAATGTTGGGACTCAAATCCAATATCTCAGCTCACGTACTTACTAAATCTTGGTTTCAAATTGTAATTGCCCTTAAGTCCATGCGTTGCAGAGGGGCCAGTTTACAGCTTATAATGGCAGGATCCAAATCCTATATCCCAACTGGCATATTTGCCAAGACCCCGTTTCAAATTTTAATAGAAATTCCATCGCCATTGTTATTAGTGGGAGTGGGATTCAGTTTCTATTAAAATTTTGTTAATCCCACTAGCTTCAAAAAGGGTTCAGAGAGACGCAATTTACCGAAAGATGGAGAGTTCAAAACTCAGCCAGTCGAAAAGAAATTTGAAGTTAACAAAAATAGCAAAATCAACAAATTCCAACCTCCTCCTTCCCACTTCCCCCCTCCCACTTTGAGAACATATTGTCAGTTCGTAATATTCAGATCAAAATCGAACAAATCACATCGCGTATTTACCAAAACTCGGTTCTAAATTTTAATTGCCCACTGGCCCATGCGATCGGCTGCATTGAAAATCCGATTTCAATCGTTACTGATCCCACTTAAATTCACCTTTTATGGAGCCTTTCCCCTAACGTAAGCAATTATTAGGAAAAAAAAAATCAATTCGGACTTTTTTTCATACAATGACTGCTCAAAATAAACATTCCCAACTCTCCCCTTCCACTCAGAGAACACATGGTTAGGTCAAACAAGGGATATTTTGTTTATTACATTTAAATCATTTACAAACAGTATATTGTCAAAACAAAGGTTCTCTTCTTTGCGCAAGTTTAAGCTGTGTATTTGTAAAAAATTAATTTTTCTGGAGCTGCCGATGTAAAATTAAAGAAAGACAAGATCCTTGCGGGTAAGCTGCAATTTTATCAATTGCAGAAAAGGAAGACTAATGCCCTGTTCACACCAATTTAAACAAGTTTCATTAAACGTAGTTTTTTTAAACATGGTTTTATAAAACATGTGTTGCTTAAGAACCGTTCACACAGCAGACTGGGTTAGGTAATGCACAGCCTCGTTTTGATATTAATTGTTGCCAACAAAATTAAAGACGCAATCAAAATGGCGGTAAGTTTAAATCACAATATCCTGCTGTTGTTGGCGCAGTCACGGCTGAGGGAAAACCTCAGAATTACACAAAACCGACAGAGAAACGCAGAGAGACGGTTTAATCGTTATGTCCGTCGGAGACGTCTCGTTTCATCATTGTTTTTCCGTTTTTTGCTTCGATTTCTTCTCCGACATCTTCCTGTTCGCCGTATTTGGCTAAAACCCCGGTCGCAGATATTTTGGGAAGAGACTTGCCAAGATTGGGAAGAAAAGGACTGGAATGAGAATTTCCGCATGTCTAAAGAAGCATTTAATCGCCTTTGCCGAGAACTTTCGCCACATATCTCTAAAAGGGACACCAATTACAGGAAAGCCATTACAGTGCGCCATCGAGTTGCCATAACATATTGGCTCGCGGACACGGCTCACTTTCGAACGATCGGAAATCTATTTGGTGTCGGAAAATCCACTGTTTGTGGTATTGTGCGACAGGTATGCGAGGTGATAGTGAACGTTCTTCTTCCCAATTATATAAACGTTCCCCAAAATCAACTTGAAGTCCAAGAAAAAATTGAAGGTTTTAAAAGTCGCGCGGGCTTTCCCCAGGTGGTTGCAGCAGTCGATGGTTGCCATGTCCCAGTCATTGGACCTCGGCAAAGTCCAGATGATTATGTTAACAGGAAGGGATTCCACTCATTAATCCTTCAGGGGCTAGTAGATTGTAATTATCTATTTCTTGATATATGTGTTGGATGGCCGGGTAAAGTACACGACGCACGTGTCTTCAAGAACTCTCCATTGTTTGCCTTGTGTTGTGCCAGAGCTTTTCTTCCGCTCGATATGTCGGTGATGATATCTGGTGTACAAGTTCCTCCCCTGATATTAGGTGACTCAGCTTATGCT